AACAGAGTATTTAAAATAACAGGGTAAAAAGAGGATAAAACTGTAAAACTTAAAAGTTAAGACTTATTAAAAATGTAGAAAAACATACAAAACCTTTAAATGAATAAAACAAACAGCCCAAAATGCATATCCGTTCCATTGTACAAAACAAAGTCTTTTATTTATCTAACAGTGTTCCTGTGTGGTAAGTTCTACATTTAAAATTGATAGATACTTTAATATTTGTTAGTATCATAAATGCAAATCATGTGAAAAAAAATATTTTAATGCATTATCGATTGACAAATTACAATCAATCTAATTTGTCAAGTCACATAACTTGCCATTTTTTGTGATTCCTAGTTAAATTCCCTGTAATTTAATATGTAATAAAAAACATTTTATATTTGCTGAATTCATACAAGATAGCTCATTATGTTTTTTAATAAGTTCTCACATACTATTTTATTGTATTAATTTATATTAATTTGTTGTAAAAAGAAACATTCAAAGCTATTTCATGAACAGTATTTTTCAGTAGTTTTGGTTTTGGTTTTGACTTCATGATTCTATATGTAAACTGAAATCAAAACCTAAACCAAAACCTCAAGATAAATATTTGAGATAATCTATATATGATATGATAATACACAATGCTAATCTTTCCTTTATTTCTGATTTTTTGCTAAAATATATTTTAATTTAGTATGTGATTTTTCTTCTTCTCTTTTTACTTTCCTGGCTATTTTAAATAACTACAGTGACCATATTTTTTTTGAGAAAATAAAGGACAATTCAGAAATTGTTTCATAATAAAAAAGCAGATTGCATTTATTTGTTTCACTAAAACTAAAAAGTCTTATAGCATTTATTATAAAATATAACATATACATAGCATTTTAATAAATTAGGTTTATGTTTTAAAAATTCATAAAACTATTCAATCCATGTTAAAGTTGCATTTGGTATAAATGCTTGTTTCCAATGTTTCAATTTTTAATTGGGTTTTTTACTGGTTCACATATTGTTCACTAATGAAAAAGCTTGTTCAGTAGATGCATTGTTTCCAGGGAGGCATAAGCAAATTTTGATTATGTTTAAAAGGTTTGCAGCAGTTCAACGTACTTCTGTTCGGACTTTCACCTCACTGTGCGCTCCAAACATTCTTTCGATGTAATTGTAACCCTTGCATATATTTCTGTAAAAGGAACTCGTGACATCGACCATTGGACTCCTTTGCTGTTTGGTATTCATTCCTCTGGCATGACGACGACGACACTACTCGCAGATGTAATCGATGACTCACTCAACCGATCTTCTCAAGAGGTACGGCTCAGTAGCCTCCTCAGGTTCATGTTTATCTGTGAAATATTTAAAAATTTCAACCTATCTATGTTGGCAGGACTTATTGTTTTGTTGACATTCTTAGATCTTTTAAATAAAAGTTATGCCACTGGTGACATAATTTTTAATACATAAAACTTTGACAAATAATTTGCTACATTGGGCTACAATTTGAAAAAATTGTAGATCTATAAATGTCCACTGTTATCTGTCTGTCTTTTCTTAATCTCGAGAGTGGAGTTAGATAGATGAAAGATGAAAACAGATATGGAAACCTTGGGAGCAGGAGGCCCCAATTAACTATATACCAGCTTCTGTTGCAAACCAGAAGTCATGTTATTTCAATTCAAAAATTTTCTCCTGAAAGGTGTTAGATAGATGACCAGCATGACACCATTGTTAAAAGAAAATTATGATGTACAGGGGCAAGCCACCACTAATTTGAGGTGGAGAGCATGTATTTTAAATTAAATTAATTAAAAATATGATTAAAAATTACAGTTTGGCATTGTGACTATGTCACAATGCATAATCACTCATTTATATTTAAGTTTCATTGTCTGGAAATGAATAAAATGTTTTCCTTGATCTTCTCTATCCACAAAGGGGTTTCTCATAATAGGATCCATTCAAATACTTTCATTTCCATGAAAGAACTGTCCCAGCTATTTAAATAATCAATGCAAGTTTGGTAAAATTTATAAATTTCAATAAATAAGTTAGGTAAATTTAATATTGGTGCCATGTGCAAACACCAGTATTCAATTTACTGTTTCCTTTCACAGCATAAAGGACAAAATGACCATTTTAGAAAAAAAATCTAAAAGACCAAGCAATGAAATAAAGGAGTGCTTCTTAACCACTTTCAAGCTTAACTCCTGTGCTTTTTTGTCAAAAATTTCTGAAATTTTGCAGGGAGGTTTGTCTATTAGGGGAATTGATTGTATTAAATTTTAATGGTTAAAGTTCAAGGGGATGGGGAGATAGAGGGGTGTCGTATGTTATATCTGGGCTCAGATTTAATGAAGATTTTACTCATTAGCATTTACAATGTTTTATAAAAATCATCTCTACTCTCAAAATTAAGCTTTTTTGGCATTTTGTAATAATTAATAATATAAGAAATTTTTAAATAAAATTTCGTAACAGATGGCACCATACGTAATTTTAACTTTTTTTTTGCCAAGAAAGTTATGCAACTCATTGCTGGGTTTTTTAGATCATTGAAAGTAAGTATAAAATTGCTGTAGAGAAGAAATCATATAGAAACACCAGATGATTTGATTATACAGACTTTATTATCTAAAAGGGAAATGCATTTTGAACTATTCAATGGCAAATAGACAAAAATGCATTTCCTTTTACCTGGTGTTTCTATATGATAAGTTCTCTAAAGCAATTTTATGCTCATTTCCAATGGTTTATTTTTAATACTTAACAAAAATAAATAAAGTGGATGATTGTTCAAAAGTAATTCAGGATTCAACAAAGCTTTTGTCTTAGCTTATTTTATTGACATCTCATACATTCTACATTTTCAATTTGTTTTTTAATTTTTATTAGAACAATTTAAAAAATGATAGAAAATTATGGTTTGAAATTAGGTAATACAATAATTATTAATGCCTGAATTGTTTATAAGTCTGAAGGATTTTATTTTTCAATCTATTTATGTTTAATTTTTTCAGAAATTTTTAAAGCTTGTATTACTAAACATTTTCAATTCCTATTGATTATACATAAAATTATATTTGGATGACTTTTCATATACAGTACAATCTCCAAATAGCAGACACTATCAGGACTGCGATGTTAAGCAGTGGTGTCCCTTATTCAGTAGTGTTTGTTGTTCATTAATGGAAGTTTCACTGTATTGGCATATATATTATATTGCATATCAATACAGAGTATATGCAAAAGACATACGTTTTTTTTTTAGATATAAAATTATGAAACATAAAATGTAAGTAATATTAAAAAATATAAGTCAAACTGTTAAATTACAGTCAAACATTGGATTTCAAATGCCTCCCTTTTTGAACCATTTGGTTTATGAATAAAATTTTGAAGTCTTTTTTGCCCCATTGCTGTATGATAACTTGATTGCTGAACAAGCTACTCAGCAGAACCAGCCATAGATGGTGAACTTCCTATACTTCTTGTGTTAAAGAAAGTTGATGGCCTGACCAATCAAAGACAGGACTACTGATTCAGAAGTTAGTGGCGCTGAGATTGTCTCACATTATGATACGAATCATTTATGTTTTACATGTTGTCATAGCGTAATGTCTTGTCATAGCAATGCGAACACATTATTTTTTCCAACATGTCCACATGACCCAAAATTTGTGTTGCAGTTGTCTCTCCCAAAAGCAACACATTTTGAGCAATTAATTTTTCTTAGTGTATTTGTTAACAATTAATTTTTCTTAGTGTATTTGTCCTTAATGGTAGCTGCTTTTTCGTTTCAGATTGATGCCATCTGGACAAGTTTTTGTTCAATTCCAATAGTTTTGTGATTAAAATAATGAATTATAACTGGAAATATCTTTGCATCTTTGTGATTGCTACCATCAGTTGCAATTCCTATGAATGGAATATTTTCTAATTCTATATAGGTAAATGTCTCTTCAATCCGAACAAAATTTCGGTAGACTTTCTCACAGCTCTACAGGTTAAAAAGAAAAGGAAAATTCAACAAGAAGTTTTCTAATTCTTCTAATGTCTTGGTTAAGTCGGTCACCAATTACATCCACAAATAGTGTTGTCGTCCTGCCAGAGAAATGATACTGGACTGCGAAGAAGTTTAACGGTCATTGTCACAAGTTCATTTTACAAAACTATATACAAAGGTTACAGTTACACTGACCGTGAAAAAAATGTTCTGAGCACACGGTGAGGTGAAATTCCAAACAGAAGTATGTCTATGTGGATGCAGGAGACTATTTTCACCCATCTACCCTACAAGTGACACATGGTCACCTCCAAAAGTAGGACATTTGCTGTTTTTGTTCAAAGGAGGGAGGACGGAGAACTGAAGGTCAAATTGTAGGACATGTCCTCCCAAAATAGGACATTTGGTAACCCTAAGTGTAGATATTTCTCAAGTATGATCCATTAGTGGCCTTACTGTGAAGTTTCAAATATGTGCATTTAGTAATTTGTTTGTTGTGATTTAGCAAAGCAAACAAGTTTTGATGTTTCCTGAAAAATGGATAAAATCAAATGCTGTGATAAAATACTTCATTTTAAAAGGTTTAATGCCAACAGATATAATAAAGAAGTTGATTGCATTTTGAAGGACTCTTCACCATTGTTTTCTACAGTGAAGAAATGGGTTACTGAATTTAAATGTGGTTGCTCTTCCATTTTTGATGATGACTATTCAGGATGCCCAAAAACTACGACTACTGAGGAACTTATCCCAAAAATTCACAATGCTGTAGTAAATGATTAATAAGTGAAAGCATGTAAGTTTGCTGAAATTGCAAAGATTTAAATAGACTATGTTCACAACATCTTACATGCATATTTGCATATGAAAAAGCTCTAGGCACAATCAGTGCCTCATTTGTTAACAATTGACCAGAAACATATTCAAATGAACATTTCTTAGGAGTGTTTGGACATGTCTCGATGATGTTTTATCACTGTTGGTGAAACAGATTCACCACTACATGCCAAAGACAAAGCAGCAGTCCAAACAATGGGTGGAAGATGGTGAAAATGCTCTGAAGAAGGCAAAATATGTTCTGTCAGTAGGAAAGGTGATGGCTACTGTTTTTTGGGATGCTCAGGGTGTTGTGCTTGTAGACTATCTAGGAAAAGGCAGAATCATCAATGGAGAGTATTATGCAGCATTGTTGGAGCAATTGAAGGATGCTATTAAGGCCAAACATCTGCATTTGGTAAAAAAGTGTTTTTCTACCATAACAATATGCGTGTTTATACTTCTACTGCAGTCATAAAGCTCCATGAATTGTGCTTCGAGTTGCTGCCACATGGACCATACTCACCAGATTTGGCATTCAGTGACTTTTTCCTCTTCCCAAATCCAAAGAAATGGCTCACTGGACAAAGATTCATTTCAAATACAAAGGCCATAGTTCAGACAAATGCTTATTTTGTACAGTTAGAGAAATCATATTATATCAAAGATAGATAGAATATCATTGGTCTACATTATTGAGTCGAAAGGTGACTATGCCAAAAAGTAAAAAAAAAAAAAAATTTGGTCAAAAATCTTGTGTTTTCTTTCTCATGCTGAGGACTTTTCGAACTACTCTTGTATTAGCAATGAAACAGTGGTAATATAACTATTTTCCAACCTAAGATAAGAATGCATTTATTATAATCAGTTCTATACAAAGTTTTATTGAGCTTTAGTACATTATAGTGCTGAATTTATTATTTTTGAAATGAGCTAGAAAATTTTATGACAGCACAGTATACAGCAATGTAGTCTTTAGTAACAGTAATATTATACGCAATATCACAAAGACTTCCAGATGTTGAAAGTAAGAATTTTTATTCAATGAAAAACAATATCATATATCAGTAATTTTGTTAATTTTTATATGAATTTATATTTTTTATGCCAATGAATTTTTAATTAACAAATTAAAAACATTTAAATGAAGATATCAAACTTACTAGGCTTCAACAAAATGTAAAATTTTGTTTTTAATTAAAATTATATGATTTTTTTTAATTTCATTTGTAGCACATAATGTTACTCATAAATTCTATTTTTTAAAATTTGAATTACTTAATATGTTTTCTTAAATTTTTATCTTAGGAATTAATAATCAAACAGCATAAATTTAAAAGATATGTTTCAAATTATAAAAATGAAATGAAAATTTTTATTTACCCGAAATTCATTTAATATATATAAAATTAAGTTATCTTAACTATGATTTAAGTTTTATAATCAATAAATAAAGGTAAATTATTATAAAATCAAGAAGTAATAAGTAAAAATTAAAACATTCAAAAATTTATTTAAAAAATACTTTTTTAAATTTCAATCTCATTTGACAAATAACCCAAGTAATACAGTTGGATAAGCAAACAAATGACCATTTCAAAAGAAACATGATATGTCAATGGTTTTCTTATCCAATTATTAAAGCTTCTTTACTAGGCAACTTGCTCAATATCAAAATGATTAATTATACTAAATATTGGATTGTTTATAGATATGGATCAGTTGCGTTTTTCAAATGTTTGAATTTTCTTTAACAAACTAAAAAATTCATTCATGTTTTTAATTACAAAGTAGAGAGTGATTTTTTGAAACTCGGGTCACTTCTCAGTTTTTAATGCTAATATGATTTTTAATATAAAAATTTAAATGCTTCTTTATGATTAGCATATAAGATAAAATAGATTTTAGAATTATTATNAGATGTGCAAAAAAAATATATATTTCCTTTGGAATATTTTTTCCTGTTTTTAATTTACCCTATGTTTCTATATTCAATGGTTGACTCAACAGTGAGAAAATGATGTTTCTAAATGGACTGTTGAGTTTTCTGTTGAGACTAATGACTGTTTCATCATTGAGCTCAACAGTCCCAATGACCTTAAAGTCCGTTGAGTATTTAACAAATTAACATGGCGGCTTCCATGAAACAAGTAAATTTCGCTTATAGAAACTATCAATTCGCCCTTGCTGTGGATGCTATTGTGACATCCAAAGGGGGGATTGAAAAAGAAGTAATTAGAAATAGGAATAATTAAATCAGAATTAGGAATTCATTTTATGACATAGTGGGAAAATAACGAAAGGTCAAACGAACAAAAGGAGTCCGAACCAAACCCACCCACACACTTCCTATTTCATCCGATTTGAAACCAATAAAGCCGATCATGATGACCATATAAGGAACAACTATTACTAAGGTTGCAAGACAAACTGACTTTACTCACCTCCAGCAATTAAGTCAGTTGGTTTGACAGCTGTTATCAAATTTACGAGGTGGAATGAGTAATCATAATGAATGGAAAGAGGTAATAAATCTGAAGAGATGTTTTGATTTCTGACAATTAACATAAACGAAACCCAGACACAAATCAAACTTAGAACGGGTTGCATTATACTTAGTATTAGTCAGCTCTCCCAAAAATGGATATAAAAAGGGCTTGGACACAGTCCTCTGGCGGACATCAACTGGGGACTTTAAATCCATACTGCCATTCTGTCCATCACCACCCTGGCCGCCCTGTCATAATTGCCGTCTCTCATGAAGGAAGACTACTGGTCACTCTGCCAATACAGGAACATTTTTACCAATGCCCATACAATGAGATCGGGAACCCAGAGGTATTATTTTAGAATATTTGTAAACTCTCTCTCTCACGTCTCGTCTCAGTTATAAGCTAGATTAAGGTTAGTTTAACTCAGAGAATATTGGGACAAATAAAGGTCCAGAACCTAGATGGTCTATCGACAAGAACGAATTAATTATTGTTGCAACTTAGAATATTTGTATAAATTTATAGTTTATTAAATATATTTTTATGGTTAATTATGTGTCATCCTTGAGTACGGCCGACACCTTGTCACGACCTCTCTCACCCTCCAACTCATTTACTACATAAGCCATCCTCTGACAAAGAAGCCGATAAGTGGGGACAAGCTCAGTGCTCTACTCCCTCGGTTCACACTATAATATCAGACAGATTGTTTTATCATATACAGATTGTTCACTATTCACAAATCACATCTAAATTCAAACTTTCCAGCAAATAAAAGACAAAAATATACACATCGAACGTTTTCTGCCAGCCACTAAATTTTCCATTCCAAGTGAAACTTCAGAAGAAACACAAAATAAAGCCAATTCAGATGTTCAGGTAAGCTGTATATTAATTTTCACCATTTTAAGGTCTGCCTAAAAATAACTATAGTATATAATATGTGAAAAAATGAGAATTTTATTTTTATGAAATTAAAAAAATACAATGAAGTTGCAATTTTTTTAAGAGATCAAATTATAAGAAGTGTAATGGAGGATTTAGGTCAAGATCCCATCTTGACATCTATCTGTATGAAAAAGAGATCTAAGATCTGGAAAAGCAGTCATTTAAGCTAGATGGTTAATAGGACAAAACAAGTTTTCACTTTATAACTTTAAATGCATAGGTGTATGCATGCCTATATCCATAATAATTCAACCTGTTGATGAAGAGAGTCTCGAAAAACATTTTCACATTTAGCTATGTGTAGCCTGTGGTACACAATTTACAGCTATGTGGTACACAAGGCTAAATTTTTCTTGTTTTAATTTTTATTGGAAGTAGAAAATAGAGATTAGCAGTGTATAATTATTGTATTTGATACATATTGTATGTCAAAATTAACATAATGCATGAAAGATAATTAATTAATAAAATAATTATTAGTTAAAGACAGTCTGCCCAAAAAGGGGCCACCATTTATTTTTCATGTTCCAGACTTCACATTCACGGCGACAGACCTTTCTTTATAGGCTACATGCCGGCAGAATTTAAAAACAGTCCTTTAAAAAACACAATTACATCCAATTAAAAAAAATTTTTTAAAAAAGGAACTGGTGTTACACAGACGTCTTGCTTTCCATTCTTCCTATGGTTTTATCTACGGGAAAATAATGTAATAAAATAATGTAAAGAGAAGAGAATTGCTTTCATAAGTTCTTAACTCTAAACAAAAATACAACTTGCAATTTTGAAAATGCATGAGATTGTTTAATAAAAGATAGAATTGTAATTGCATAAAATATGATACAACTTGGGAAATTATTAGCCAAAGATGATATGTTATATACAGTTATGTGAATAATAGAATAAGCATGTAACAAAGACTGAATTATGCGGGAAGCTACTATGAAAAAAAGAAAATAGAAAAGGAAGTAACATAAAATCAGGAAAAGAGTTCAAAAAGTGTGAATTTTAAGATTTTTTTTATTGTGCTCATTTTTCTCCTATTCAGAACGTACAATACTTTCACGTGTTGAGTGCGCTATCATTTTTACTTGCCGTCATTATCGAGGATGGCTGCCCATGATTGGTTAATTATTCTACCTAAGTTATTGTTTATTCTGTTTTTCTCCCTTTTAATATTTATATGCTCGTATAATTGTCTCTTATAATTATTTGGTTCTTTTTTCTTTATTTTAATAGTATTTAATTTTATTTTGCAACCATTTTTATTAATATGTTCAGCTACTGCTGAATTTGCATAATTTCCTCTTATTGCACGTATATGTTCCTTTATTCTTGTCTCTAATTTACATTTGGTTTCTCTGATGTATGTTTTACTAGGGTTACAACTGCAATTAAAAGAATAAACTACTACTTTTTCATTCAATAAATCTACTTTTTTGTCTGATTTATAATATAAATTTCTTTTAAACAAATTATTAAACCCTAAGTGTGGATATTTCTCAAGTATGATCCATTAGTGGCCTTACTGTGAAGTTTCAAATATGTGCATTTAGTAATTTGTTTGTTGTGATTTAGCAAAGCAAACAAGTTTTGATGTTTCCTGAAAAATGGATAAAATCAAATGCTGTGATAAAATACTTCATTTTAAAAGGTTTAATGCCAACAGATATAATAAAGAAGTTGATTGCATTTTGAAGGACTCTTCACCATTGTTTTCTACAGTGAAGAAATGGGTTACTGAATTTAAATGTGGTTGCTCTTCCATTTTTGATGATGACTATTCAGGATGCCCAAAAACTACGACTACTGAGGAACTTATCCCAAAAATTCACAATGCTGTAGTAAATGATCAATAAGTGAAAGCATGTAAGTTTGCTGAAATTGCAAAGATTTAAATAGACTATGTTCACAACATCTTACATGCATATTTGCATATGAAAAAGCTCTAGGCACAATCAGTGCCTCATTTGTTAACAATTGACCAGAAACATATTCAAATGAACATTTCTTAGGAGTGTTTGGACATGTCTCGATGATGTTTTATCACTGTTGGTGAAACAGATTCACCACTACATGCCAAAGACAAAGCAGCAGTCCAAACAATGGGTGGAAGATGGTGAAAATGCTCTGAAGAAGGCAAAATATGTTCTGTCAGTAGGAAAGGTGATGGCTACTGTTTTTTGGGATGCTCAGGGTGTTGTGCTTGTAGACTATCTAGGAAAAGGCAGAATCATCAATGGAGAGTATTATGCAGCATTGTTGGAGCAATTGAAGGATGCTATTAAGGCCAAACATCTGCATTTGGTAAAAAAGTGTTTTTCTACCATAACAATATGCGTGTTTATACTTCTTCTATTGCAGTCATAAAGCTCCATGAATTGTGCTTCGAGTTGCTGCCACATGGACCATACTCACCAGATTTGGCATTCAGTGACTTTTTCCTCTTCCCAAATCCAAAGAAATGGCTCACTGGACAAAGATTCATTTCAAATACAAAGGCCATAGTTCAGACAAATGCTTATTTTGTACAGTTAGAGAAATCATATTATATCAAAGATAGATAAAATATCATTGGTCTACATTATTGAGTCGAAAGGTGACTATGCCAAAAAGTAAAAAAAAAAAAAAATTTGGTCAAAAATCTTGTGTTTTCTTTCTCATGCTGAGGACTTTTCGAACTACTCTTGTATTAGCAATGAAACAGTGGTAATATAACTATTTTCCAACCTAAGATAAGAATGCATTTATTATAATCAGTTCTATACAAAGTTTTATTGAGCTTTAGTACATTATAGTGCTGAATTTATTATTTTTGAAATGAGCTAGAAAATTTTATGACAGCACAGTATACAGCAATGTAGTCTTTAGTAACAGTAATATTATACGCAATATCACAAAGACTTCCAGATGTTGAAAGTAAGAATTTTTATTCAATGAAAAACAATATCATATATCAGTAATTTTGTTAATTTTTATATGAATTTATATTTTTTATGCCAATGAATTATTTTCAATTAACAAATTAAAAACATTTAAATGAAGATATCAAACTTACTAGGCTTCAACAAAATGTAAAATTTTGTTTTTAATTAAAATTATATGATTTTTTTTAATTTCATTTGTAGCACATAATGTTACTCATAAATTCTATTTTTTAAAATTTGAATTACTTAATATGTTTTCTTAAATTTTTATCTTAGGAATTAATAATCAAACAGCATAAATTTAAAAGATATGTTTCAAATTATAAAAATGAAATGAAAATTTTTATTTTCCCAAATTCATTTAATATATATAAAATTAAGTTATCTTAACTATGATTTAAGTTTTATAATCAATAAATAAAGGTAAATTATTATAAAATCAAGAAGTAATAAGTAAAAATTAAAACATTCAAAAATTTATTTAAAAAATACTTTTTTAAATTTCAATCTCATTTGACAAATAACCCAAGTAATACAGTTGGATAAGCAAACAAATGACCATTTCAAAAGAAACATGATATGTCAATGGTTTTCTTATCGAATTATTAAAGCTTCTTTACTAGGCAACTTGCTCAATATCAAAATGATTAATTATACTAAATATTGGATTGTTTATAGATATGGATCAGTTGCGTTTTTCAAATGTTTGAATTTTCTTTAACAAACTAAAAAATTCATTCATGTTTTTAATTACAAAGTAGAGAGTGATTTTTTGAAACTCGGGTCACTTCTCAGTTTTTAATGCTAATATGATTTTTAATATAAAAATTTAAATGCTTCTTTATGATTAGCATATAAGATAAAATAGATTTTAGAATTATTATTATTGCCTTATTGTCCTTATTTCAATTCTTATTATATTTGTCAACTTGGACATAAATTATTAATAGGACTGTTAAACTGGTGTTAAATATTAATGCAAAATTCAGCAAAAGTTCTTAAAGAAAACAAACTTTCTTTATTGAGCCTCCTGTACACATACTTTTGTTTACAACTGTGTTTCGGGCTATCATGCCCCTCCTCAGCAGGGTTACAATGGCTATCATTTTTAACTACAAATGACAAATAAATTATCNTAGGCTACATGCCGCCAGAATTTAAAAACAGTCCTTTAAAAAACACAATTACATCCAATTAAAAAAAACTTTTTAAAAAAGGAACTGGTGTTACACAGACGTCTTGCTTTCCATTCTTCCTATGGGGTGTTTCTGCTTTTATCTACTGGAATGAGCGCTGGAAAATGCAGATTTCGGAAACTTCCCCCTGGTGACGATACATTCCAATTTTTTTCTTTTTGTAAATTTTCGTCTAATGGAGATTATTATTATTAATTAAAGACAGTCTGCCCAAAAAGGGGCCACCATTTATTTTTCGTGTTCCAGACTTCACATTCACGGCGACAGACCTTTCTTTATAGGCTACATGCCGCCAGAATTTAAAAACAGTCCTTTAAAAAACACAATTACATCCAATTAAAAAAAATTTTTTAAAAAAGGAACTGGTGTTACACAGACGTCTTGCTTTCCATTCTTCCTATGGTTTTATCTACGGGAAAATAATGTAATAAAATAATGTAAAGAGAAGAGAATTGCTTTCATAAGTTCTTAACTCTAAACAAAAATACAACTTGCAATTTTGAAAATGCATGAGATTGTTTAATAAAAGATAGAATTGTAATTGCATAAAATATGATACAACTTGGGAAATTATTAGCCAAAGATGATATGTTATATACAGTTATGTGAATAATAGAATAAGCATGTAACAAAGACTGAATTATGCGGGAAGCTACTATGAAAAAAAGAAAATAGAAAAGGAAGTAACATAAAATCAGGAAAAGAGTTCAAAAAGTGTGCTTTTAAGATTTTTTTTATTGTGCTCATTTTTCTCCTATTCATTATTATATCTAAAAGATACAATAATGAGGATGAGAAAAATGAGCATACTTGTCTATATTTAACGATATGAGATATTCATGTTAAATATTGCATGAATAGACAAGAAATTTTTGTCCAAATTTATTAGATATATTTGAATCTTAGTTATCATTGATTAAATTTATAGAAATGAAAAAAATTATTTATATCCAAATATAATAGACATAGACAAGAAACACTTAAGTAATGATAGCAGAAAAAATTTTAAATAAATGTTAATTATTGCATGAGAACATTTTATGCAGATTTATGAGAACTTACAACATTTTTCTGTACTGGATGAAGATTCTGCTATGATATTTTCAAAAAATTTTATACATTAATAATTTATTATTAATGTATAAGCCAACAATTTTTTTTTATCATTAGAAGTATCATAAAGGAAGCAATATAAAATAATAATAATAATGTAAATTTTGATAAAAGACGTATAAAAATTATTATATTTATATTTTTTATATTTTATAATTGAAAGAGGAAAAAATAGATTCTTATATTACTTATATTTATTTATTTAAATAGGATACCAGTTCTATCAAAAATATTAATTCTTCTTCTAATGTTTCTGAAATTTCCAATTCTTCCAAACATTCAAATATACCAAGGACTTCAGGAAGCAGCAAGAAATTGTTTTCAAAACATGAAACTAGTTCATCTATTGTTTCTAGATTTAAAAAAGTAAGTGTATTTTGTTGTAAACATTTAGCAAAATTATGGTATTATTTTAAGTTTTGAAAAATCTAATCTGTTTTTTCTTTGTAATCTTAAAATTAAGTTTTTAATTGTCAAAGTAAACTTTGAAAAAATTTCATGTAGTGCATTTATATGTAATTATATAAATAAATTCTTATATACAAATGTCTATGTATTTATGTGTATATACAATGTCTCTAAAATGTCTGGCAAAACTTTGGAATCATATTCTTCATACTAAAAGAATGAAAATCTTTCATTTAAATATTTGTTCTTTTTCTATTTCTAGCTCTATTTCTAATGTATCTAAGCAAACATGAAATACAGTGGAAAGCCAAAGATTAAATTTATGTGTATTTACTGGTTTTTGAGCTAATAAACTGTAACATGTCACAAAGTTCAGAAAAGTGTTTTTAGATACTTTGAACATTGCATAGAAATCCAAATTTCTAAAACCTGAAAGATGATGTAACTTGGCCAAAATGTTCCTTGTGCTAATAAAAGTGAACTAACCAGGAGCAGCTTTAGGCCAGGACTGTTGGGTCACTTTCACTGGGCCTCCAAATTTTTAGGAACCCCAAATACGAAAATTTGTTTTGTACTTTTATTTGAATGATTTATTTATTTTGCACTTAAAATACATTTGTATAGAATAGAAATCATAGAATGGGATATTATACACAACAAAATAATTAATTTCATAATTTTAGCAGAACTTTATTTATATAACGATAATAAATTTCTGAGAGTCTATTCATGGACTGAAGTTTATCCATTTTCCATACACTAGTAGCATGCAGCTGCACTCTGCATACAGATTACTCTAAAATCATCAAAATATTATCTGCAAATTACACCTAAATTCAAAATTTCCAGCAAATAAAAGACAAAAATATACACATCGAACGTTTTCAGCCAGCCACTAAATTTATCGGCCTTCCTCAGGAAATACAAACTGGAAAAACCATTCTATAAATAGAACATAACTGCCTTGTAAAATATTATCATAATTTTTTAAATATAAACTTTTTAACATTTAAAAATGAACTATAATTGTAAGTTATGCAATCCAAGATTTAATAATGCAGTCTTTCAATTACAAAAATATACATAAAAATGGAATAATAAACAAATTGGTGTAAGTTACATAGTCAATTTAAATTAATATCAACATAACAAGAAAATTTGATCTGAGGCAAGTAAGACAAAAAGTAAACTTGAAGAGGAGTAATTCATTAGTAAACAATGTGGAGCATTTTTCTGACATATCCATCCAATTTCAGTAACTTCACATTTAGTGGAAAATTTGAAAACCAAATCAATAAGCACTGCTGCTTATCATTGCAACAACAATTATCAAGCTATCTACTAGGGTTTCTATTTTTTTTCAACTTCCGATGGTCCATAAAACAAAGACAAATGTAAATAACAAAATGAATTTATTACCAAAAGTTAGGTACAAACATGGTTACTTTTCAACATAATCACTGTGAAGGTTGAGGCATTTGTCATATCTGTGGAGGAACTTTTCCATCTTCTCTTCCTAGAATGTGAATTGCCAGTGAATTGAGATGGCCTTAACGACATTGTTTTGAAGATCGTCATTAATCTTGAACCTATGCCCACCTAGCCACATTTTCAGTTCAGGAAAGAGGTGGAAGTCTTCACACATTAAAAAGTTCCGAGCTGGGTGGAAGTCTTCACCACCTTTAAACACCCAGTGTATTACCGCAATTTAGCGCAGAGTGATTTCCACCTTTTTACCTGAACTGAAAACATGATTAGGAGGACAGAGATTTGAGATTAATGACGATTTTCTAAAAAGCATTAAGGCCCATCTCAAGTCATTGGCAGCAACATTCTATGAAGAGGTGATGAAAAAGCTCGTCTATAGACAGACAAATGCCTCAATCTTCATGGTGATTATGTTGAAAAATAACCATGTTTGTATCTAACTTTTGGTAATAAATTCATTTTGTTATTTACATTTGTCCTTGTTTTATGGACCATCAGAAGTTGAAAAAGAAACAGCCTTCATAAGTCACTGTACATACAGTTAGAAAATAAAATGCTCAAGTTTCAAATGTGTAGCAATTTTTTCAGGAAAACAGTCAATTAAGATTAACTTCAGAGGCTTCATTTTAAAATTTTGGCTAAAGCCACCCTTGTAACCAATCAAAATAAAATTTTATGTGATTTTTATTTGTCTAATATGTGTATTAGTTACTTAATACATCTGTTTCTTTGTTTCTTAGAATCAATATAAAATAAATTTTATGATAATTAAATGCTTTTTAAAGAATAGCTTTACAACAATCTTAAATATATGTGTGATATTTTTACAACAATCTGAAATTATTTTTCAAAGACACATTTTAGACTCATTGGGCTGCAATTTTTGAAAAAATTGTAGACCTATAAATTCCCACTGTTGTCCATTTGTCTGTCTTTCCTTAATCTCGAGAATTTAGTTAGATAGATGAAAGAAGAGAGCAGATATGCAAATCTTAGGGCAAGAGGCCCCAATTAACTATATATGAACTTTCTATGCAAACTGGAAGTCATATTATTTCAATTTAAAAAATTTTTTATGAAGGGTGTTAAATAGTTGACCATCACAACTCTATTGTTAAAGGAAAAGTATGATATACAGGGGCAAGTAATTAATTTGAGGTGGAGAGAATATATTTTAAATTAAATAAATTAAAAATATGATTAAAAATTGCAGCCTGGCATTGTGACTATGTCACAATAAATAATTGCTCATTTTCATATGAAAATCTTTCATCTTTTTCACAAGAACTGATGTGCTTCCAAAATCTTATTAGGCATTTCAGGCCCTCCAAAGTAGGGAACTGGCCTCCGCATGGCGGGGGACCTAGCAGCGAGAGGCAGTGGGTATAGAGGATCTGAAGGTCCCACTTTGGTCTCAGCCATTGATGGAGTCTTCAGGCTCGAGCCCAAGATTTCAGAGGTGTCAGAGTATCATGGGCCTTGGGTCTGTGTAAACAGGCTTTAGTGAAGCTTGTTGTCCATGTGCCATCTCCCTATCTGCAGTCTCAGTGGGGTTTCTAACATCTCCCTAAACTGGAACCTATTCCTATTCGGATGGATGGCAACTAGAGTTGCATTTTGGTATAGTGCCATGCAGACTCACATCAAAACAGAAAGGATACTGGTACGGCCAAGAGGTGGTGATTATTCTTTTTGGCTTCAGCAATAAGAGGGCCAACATGGTCCCTCAGTAAGTCCGAGGCCGGAAGATGATTGCTATAGCTGCTATGAACAGGTTTCCCAGGGAGTTCTTGTCTTCGAATGAGATAAGTGAAGTGTAGTTGATTGGACTTGTTTGACGCAAGTTGTTTGCCCTGCCAGTGGAAGCGTGGGCACTTGCAGTCCCCTTGGTATGGTGTCACTCGATAGGCGCACTGCCGAAATGTGGTAGGGATCTTCTGCTTTGGCAGAATGGTCCCAAGTCCCCTACTCATGATGGTTAACACATGTGCTTGTAGTGAGATGATTGCTTATCATGGCTTAACAAGTGAAGTCCCTGACTAGCCACAGAGGACGCCAAAACGTCTGGATTCAATTCCCACATTGGTACAGAGACTGGATGCCATGGATCTGACAATCCTTACCCTCCAGAATCTTAGACACACAAAACCTGTATCCCTGTAAGCCTGTAAATAATTCCTGTATTTACCCTAGTGGTGTAGGGCCAATGTTTGCTTGCCAAAAAAAGCAGTCAAATGCAGTTGATGCCACTTTAACCCATGGTAACGCAAACCATGTAAAGCTCCTTCTGTCTGGTAAAGGAGAATCAGTTTCCCAGGAGGAAGACTGGGTCTTGGATGCCCAGTGCAGGCCTGGGGGCCATGGCCTGCATGCCGAAGCCAGTGGGGTGAGGAGTCATACTCCTATAACTGAAGTCTCACTGGTGACCAGGGGGATAGCACTTATAGTGGATTACAGGATCCTGCTAACTGATATCTACTTGATAGGCAGTTGACAAAGCCACTCTATGGCATAGGGTCAACTTCCCATATGTCTTGAGGGAAAGTGGTGCTTAAAGGCCTGATGATGCATTGGATGGCTGTATACAGAAAGGTTTCCTAGCAGAGATGATGGGGCAGCCCAAGCCAAGCAACCAGCTTGACTGGGGTGACCTTGGGTAGGCGGCCATGTAATTGGGTAGCTGTCCCGGCAGCCGGCCAAACCACTTGTGGGGAGGCTCTTAAACACATGCTGAAAGGACTCTGGACATTCATGAAAGGTTAAGATTGCCTCAACCCCTTCTCTCTATTATTATTTTTATGGTGACAAACGTGAGTGTAAGCGAATGTTTAAATTGTGCATCAAGTGTGATCAATGCACTGAATGTTGCCGAAACTTTGAAGGCCACCAAAATCCCAGAAAGAGAGGAAGCAGGAGATGCAGTCAGCACCAAACTGCTGGATAGGTGGGTCCTGCAGAAACACAGACTTGCCAAAAACCTAGGGCCCAAAAGGGATGGGCTGCAGGAAGATATGAAAGCATCTGTAGCGGATGGGACTGGAGAATCTGATTCGGCCTTGGGCCCAGAAGAGGTGTTTAACACTGCTTTCTCAAGTGAGGAAGATGACTGAAAGGCCATTCCAGCCACCAACCACAGTAGGTGAAAGCTGAAGTGGCAGCAGGTGGCTAAAGCCAAAGAGGTGAAATCGGGCGATAAGCCAACCAGGGAAGCCGCCAAGGCTGCAGGTGGAAATCACTCAGTGCTAATCAGGGCTATACACTGAATGTTTAAAAAGTTCCTAGTTGGGTGGAAGTCTTCACACCTTTATTGTGTAAAGACTTCCACCTTTTTCCTGAACTGAAAATGTGGCTAGGAGGGCATAGGTTCAAGACTAATGACGATCTTCAAAACAATGTTAAGGCCCATCTCAAGTCACTGGTGGCAACATTCTATGAAGAGGTGATGAAAAAGCTCATCCACAGATATGACAAATTCTTTAATCTTCACGGTGATTATGTCGAAAAGTAACCATGTTTGTGCCTAACTTTTGGTAATAAATTCATTTTGTTATTTACACTTGTCTTTGTTTTATGAACCATTGGAGTTGAAAAAAACTGCCCTTGTACTTGTTGAATGCATTATAGAATAATGTTTATAATAAATATTAATAATTAAGGAAATCATAAAATATAAAAAAAATGTATTTTCATTAATATGAAGAAGTTTGTTTTTTTGCTCTTTAATGATTTTAAATAATAATAAACTATACAGAGATTTTAATTATATCCAGAATATCCTCATCTTATTCATAACTTTGATTTTTATAATGAAAATAAATTAAAATTTTAGTATTACATACTCAATATCAAGAATGATCAAACTTTATAAATTTATGAAAGAAATATTTATAAGGCTCTGCTTACACAGATTTTATTTCATTTAAATTTCACTTATTAATGATATATTTTTGCATCCAACAATTTGTTTTATATGCAGAGAAGAATGTAAGATATGACAATCAAACAAATGTTTACAAAATGTATTTTTTTGAGATTATCAACAACAAAAACAATTTAATTCTCTCAAATAATCTGTTATGGGATTGAAGCATTTACAGAAAATTGCTCTATAAATTTGTATTGATGTATAAACAGTTGTTATAATTTGGTAATTTGATATTTTTGGAACCAACTTTTGTAAATTACTTTCTACAAAAATAATTGTAATGTTACTCAAGAAAGAATGTTTTAAAATTAGATACATTTATACATTTTTTTTTCTAAATTCTAAAAAATTAAAATAACATATAGTCTATTAATTATATAAAATGACTTATAATTAATTTGTATTTTAATCTATTAATTTCAGTTTCTGGAACTCTGTAGATGTTCCATGAATGACATTGATGAAAGTGAAAGAGAAAAAATTATTAATAAATTGAGGAAACGTTACAATTCAGCTAATCCTCTTTTTATTTCTTCTAAAAACTTTTATTCATTCATTGATAAAAAAATTGAAGATGTTGTAAATGATTATAAAAATATATATGTGCATATTGAGGAAGTTTATACTGAATTAAAAGGATTTTCTTGTAAAAGGCTTAAAAACTCAAGTGAAACTTCTGCACCAAAGAATGAAACAAGTGCCAAAATTGGTGAAAGTAACACATCTAAGGAAAATGATGCCACTGTTAATTCAGTTGAGAATAATTTATTACGAACTAATCAGTTTAAAGAAGAAAAAACTGGTGAATCACATGTCAATAATACAATACAAACAATTGAACAAAAACCAAGTAGTAAACATATAAAAAGACTGGAGATATTACTAAAGGTAAGATAATTATTTAATTATTTGTATCTATGTCAGAGAAAATTTTTTTAAAGTCATTCTTCAACCTTCTGCTGTTTTTTTAAAAAAATATGTACTACATTAAAATGCAAAATACATGTTGCTAAAAGTGCTGGACTTCACTTTATGTTGATTCTTGCTGTTTTACCAACATCAAACATAGAGGTACAGTAGCCATACGTATGCGTTCAGTGATCCTATCTTTCTCTACTGTCTATCTCCTCTCCCTCCCCTTTCCCTTACCCTCTTTTCTGCCAGCTAAACACCTCGTGTACGGCCAGTGTCTTTCATGTATGTATATATGTATGCTTTAGCACGGTTGTCAGTACAGGGTTGGTCTCCATTTGCTGCTCTGTGAGGTCTGGAGTCTTAGTCTTAATCTCAATCATATAGGAAAATAAAATGATAATTTTTGAAATTTTGATGCTTTTATCAAAAGAGATCTTGAGTAAATGATGTGAGCAGAAAGAGGGTCACCTATGTGGATGCATAAACTTAGAATGAAAGAGGACTTGTTCATACATGATAAAACCTTACAATACCAGTTGGATTTAACAGTTATTCATAAAAAGATCATAAGCAAGTTGGCTTTTAAGTTGATATGCAGAGAGTCCACATGAAGAAAGGCCCACCAGTGGCCAAGTGGTCTTCATTCCCTGAACACTGGGAGTTCAGTTGTGGGTTCATGCCTCACTCGGATGGGCTGGCCATGTGGAGTTTTCTTCACGTCTGTAACGCCAGTCTTTTCCCTTAAAAAGATCTCCCGGAAAGCATTCTCCCTAGATAGATCACTCAAGTGTTGTGTTGCCATAATTAAACAAACAGACATCCACATGAAGAAAATTCAGAGATTCACCCTAGGAGAGGAAATGATGTATCTGGGATCTGCCAAGTAAAAAGAACTATTGAATCCGGTTGTAAAAAAGTACTCACACTTGTCTCACTTGTTAGTCAAAATTTAGTGAGGAAAACGGAGTCAGTGGCAACGAAGAACACTGGGTCAGATTGGAATAATCGAGAGGAGCACATTGCTCCTTCATAAATAGTCAAAAAGGGTACCTGTGTCCTTGAGATAAGGTTTTGTATAGATTTGGGCTCTTAATTGCACATTTCAATTGGTATTCAATATCTTTCCTCATGACTTGATTGGTCTGTAACCTGTTTCTAGGACACTTTAAAATTGGACACCTTCTCAGACTGCAAGAAAAGAACAATGTCAACAATTAATTTGATTGTGAATTCAATCTCAATCAGAGGATGTTTGATGATCTTAAGATCTTCATTGTATTAATTCAGTTAGTGTATATACTTCTAGACAGTTGTTGTTGTAAAGTTAAAAGTTATTTGTAAATTTGACAGGATATAAACAATTCAATAAAAAAAAAAACATTCTTTTATAAAATTACTGAAGGAGAAGTGTTAAGGTTTAGATACTTCCATGACCCACAGCTGTTACAGCCATTACTCTTCAGAGTAGGCTTTCCACTAAGTTCTGTTAAACTTCTGCTGAAATTTATTTCCATTCCTCCTGTAATACAATAAATAGCTGATGTGATAGTTGAACAAGTATGTCTAGCATGCAATCATTACAACAGCTCATCTCAAAGATGTCAAATTAGGTTTAGATTGGGACTTTGGATCAGTCAAATTCTTCCATATGCAAGTCTTCAAATCACAAAGCTAATACTAGAGACTTTTTCTTTGTTACCAGATATGTTATTGTGCTGATACAAGAAAGGGCCTATTTCACACTATAGCCACAATACAAAAAGAACAGAATTATCTAAATGTCTTGGTAGATATCAGCATTTAAAGAGCCAGTCACAGAAACCAATGAGCCCATTTCAAACCAGAAAAATACTCACAAACTATTATGCTATTTCCAAATTTTACATTAAATACAACATATTCTTGTAATTTCTGTTTACCAGGCATCTGCCAAGTCTAGACTACAGCTGGAAACAAAACTAAGTTTGGAAAACTATGGTTTTGAAAACTTTTTCAAAACCAGTTTGGAACAGACAGACTTAGCAGTTAAGGTATCAGCTTGTCACTCTTTGTGACCTGGAAAAATATCCAGATGGATCAAAAAACTCTAGGAATTTTTAATGGGTGATCATCCCAGATACAGTGATACCTTGGTTTTTGTTTATAATTCATCCGAAAAGAATCGGCAAAATCTGAAACCAACAAAAACCGAGGAAATTATTTCCATATGAATCAAAGTAAATCCAATTAATTTGTTCTAGACACTCCAAAATACATACCGAAAACACATTTTATAGAGAATAAATATAGTGTTTAATACTAAAAACAATAAGAAATTAATATAAAATGAATATAAAAGACTAATGTAAAGAATAAATAGACATTTAACCTGGTGTTTCCCATGATAGAGCTAAAAAGAAAGGAAAGTAATGGAATTGGGCATATTCAAAATCTCAGCATCAATCCAGTGAGATGCTGCCAGAAGTGGCGCAACTGCTAGCATTTTCTAGAGAACACAAACGCTGACAGCCGGGAATTTCAGGAAAGAAAAACAATAAAAATGGCAAATGGCATGGACTTCCACACTATGTTAAATTTATTTTTGAACTTATTTAATGAGAACAGCTTAATGAAAAATGAATATTTTGAAAAGAGAAATAGGGATGAAGATTTTTTAAATTTCTGTAGGAGTTCTCTTATGAGCTTCATGGTAGCTGCCTTCTTGTTTGCTGGTGTATCAGGCACCAAAAAAGACATTTGCAGTTTGCTGGAAGCACTCTGGCAGCAACCAGAAGTCATCTGAGATTATGAACAGAGGTGCTGACTGCATGCTGAGATTTTGAATACACACATTGTTTAGCTAGACTTGCGGGATAATGCTCACACAATGAGAAACAACGCCATACTAAGCAGGAAAATGCATGGTTTCAGGAAATTAGCAGTGAGGTCATGTAGGCACACTGACGAAATCCGAAGCAACCAACAAAAACAGAGAGAAATTTTTTGCAAAAACAAAAACTGACGATAACTGAAGTCAACAAAAACCAAGTTATTACTGTATGTTGGGCCTTATTCTCACCATATGGCTATCCTATTGTGGGCTTGACAAGAAGGCCCTCTTATTATCCACAGGAAAGAAAGAGGGGGAAAATATTTTGAACAGGTAAAGGGATATGTTAAATTATCTAAAGCTTTTAGTCCTTATTATTACAATATACAAATTTGATAAAAATATAAATACAGTATCTGTAATGAGGGCATATCATACCAACTATTAACTGATTATGCAATTTTACAGTTTTTTATTTTTCACAATATTTTTGTGAGGAGTCAAAAATGATGACTTATTCATCAATACCAGCTTGATTTTTTTTCCTTTCTCGCATCTGTTATTGATATGTTTTCTTTACCAGCTTCTGGGTGTTTGTGGAAGTGTCTGTGGTGAGCTTATGTTCTTCACCTCTAGTACTAGTAGTTGGCACTATTACTCATCATCTGCATAACTCTACAGCTTCCTGTGAAATCTGTCATCTTTTACAACCTCCATTGATGCCAGAATCTTCATTCATCAGGTTGCTTTATTTAACACTTCATCCTGGTTCTACATTGTTCAGTTTCTGCCTTTTGCTCCTGTCAGTCTTTCCACGTCATCTGTTCCTAAATGTCTCCAGTGAAAAAACAATTATTGCAAAACATGTTCTAATTATTCATGTGTGTCTGCTTGTATCCAGAATGTGATGTAGAATGGGTATCAGGTCCAAAGAGTAGATGCCAAGAGTGACTATTTAAAAGCAACTGTATCACATTGACCAGGGTAATCCTGCTGATCAAAGTAATTCTGTTCTAAGGTAATATGTCATTGCACAAATAATATAGATTTATTTAAAACTAAAATTTAAGAGTGATTATTTTATTTTATTTAGAAATATGCAGATGAGCCAAAAGTTCCCAAACTCTGATTTTAACATTTTTTTTATATTTGTGTTAACATGTGCTATGAATTTCTAAAATCATCTCCTTCCTTGCCTCTGAGAACACGTAAAGACAATAAAAATGCCCCTAAACATTTAAATTAGCTCTGTAAAGGACAAATTCCAAACCATATAGGCATCTCCTTGTGAAGACATGATGATGTGCTAATATGTACCAGTTCCCTATTGACTCTCCAACCTCATAATGCAGCAGTGCAGGCTATCTACATGCATAAGCATGTTTCTTTGACAAGTACAATGTTTATTTGTTTTTTAGGCATTCTTTGAAACATAATCATATGCACGATGCAGAGAGATTTTCTCCCAGTTCTCCTGATTTGTCATCATCCAGTTACTTCCTTTGGGGAGGAAGAATTGTAAGGTTGAATTATCTCAATAGGCATAATATTGAGATAATCCAAGAGATCTGCATTTCTTGAAAAGGAACATTGCTGCTACCATCAATAGCATTTCTTCAGTTATGCTAAGATGCATGGCTACAAACATGTGTTGCTGCAAGCATTTGTGCTTGCAGGAACATGGACTCTTCCAACATCTGTAATATTGTTTTCAAAGCCCAAGAAATCAGGAAACATAACTGTAATATAAAATTTTTTTCATTTGCATTAAAAAACCCACCAAAAGTTTTTGAAATCAATGTTTAGGGACTTTTGCCTCATCCTGTATAAATTAATGTTAAGTAATTTATTTTGAATCAGAATAGGGATTTTTTTTTGAAACAACAGTTTCTGAAGAAGGAAGATTTTATTCTCATATTTTTTTAATTTATAATTTCAACTCTTTTTGGTCTTCAGATACTAAAAAGGGCCCTTTATTAGTGTTATTGGTTCAGCTAAGCCAAGTAATGGGGATAGGATACCAAAAACATATCCAGATCAAATCACTCATGAAAATTTCTGAAATTCTAACCTGAACTTGAACATAAATTTCTAGGGTGACAACTTAAAAATTAAAAATAAATCTTGACCAACATTATGTACATTAAAATACATATTAATAAAATATATATTTTTCATGAACTGTATTGTGAATTATAGTATTGGCATAATCGCCAGAAGATCCTTTTATCCATTTTGCATTTTATTGTGGAGGCATAGCCTCAAATAAAAGGTCGTCTCCGTAACTGAAAATTGTTTTTAGAAGTCTCTGATGTTTGTAATGACGGATCATGAAGACAATTTTGTAGTTTTGGTAAATTTTATTTATATTATATGAAATAAGAATTGTCTTCTGTGTCAACTGATGTGACAAATCTAGTGAAAATTGGATAGAATAGTCAATCACCAAAATGACAGTTAGTATTTCTACCATCAAATCCTTCTAAATTCATTATTTATATAATCAGAAATGCAGAAAATGAAAAATCAAACAAAATACTTTTAAACAGTAGCAAGTTGTTTCATTAAAAATCTTCAAGTTGCAAGTCAAGTCACTGTATTAATGTATTCAAATTAAGTCTCAAGTCAAGCCATCTCAGCAACTTAAGTCCAACTCTAGTTTACGTTGATCATCCCAAGTTGGCAACATTATTTATATGATGTTCATTCATTTACAAGTGGAATTACCATTATTATTCGTCTTCACACACCGGTATGATATACAAATAACAACCTTCCATGTGTTATGATTTGAATGACGATATGTTCAAAAGGAAATTATTCGATTTACAACATCTGACTTCTTTTTTGCACAATAGCCTGAAGAAGAGCCCAGAAGGGGCCTAAAAAATGTTAGCTACCCTAGTACACAACCAACTACCCTAGTCACGCAACCAGATTTTATGTAAGTGTTATTTGTTGAATTATCATATTGTTATTAAAAATATAATAATCCTATATTGTTATTAAAAATATAATAATCCTATCTTATTAAAATATAATAATCCTATAAGATTGTGCTGTTGCATTATTCTTAATATGTAAAAATGGACAAATATCTCTTGTGATTACAGGAGGATTATATAGTACAAGAGAATTTTATTCTTGATCATTTGTACACAATGTTCATTATTGATCACTGGATTAAATAATCTTCCAAGATAACTGATATCTGTATGTTGATTTCATTAGATAGTAGTAAGCCAGTCAGCATAAATAGCCATCCTTATTGAGAACTAGCAGATAAATCCAGCATTGCTCTGGCAAAAAGTAATGATAGAAAAGATTAAGATAGATAAGATAGCAAAATTGGCTATATATTTTTTAATTATTAATCTTATTCATTTTCACCGGGTGCAAGAATTAGGGCTTCCTCTTCCAAGAATAATTAGAGAATTTTTAGATGGATCTAAAAACATGTTTGATTTCCCAGAAAAATTCAAAAAACCGCATCTAAAATAGTAGAGTAGAAGCTGAGTTCTTCATGGTAATCCTTAACCCTCCCTTCTCCCCTGCAGAAGGATTTCCAAAAATTCCTTCTTAGTGTGCATTCTCATGACATACCCTAACTGTGTGCCAAATTTCAACTTTCAACTTCTAACCGTTTGGGCCCTGCACTTATTATTATTAGGTTGGGTTTAGTGGGTAATACTCGGTTTAAACCGGTGGCTGCGTACTATGCTGGACCAGAGTCAAGGCATAGCAACCAAAACAAAACTAAAATTAAATAAGTGTGTCAGTATGTGTGTCTGTATTCAGGAATTTCCTAACAATATGACATGTATTCAATATAGTGGCCTTCTGTAGTGTGATGTATGTATTTCTATTCAATTGTAATGTTCCCAGGCTTTTGTGTAGTGTGTGTGGTATCACACCTGTACAGGAGAGAACAACAGGTACAATAAGCACCCTATCCATCCTCCACAGATGCCTTATTTCCTGGGCGAGTTCTGTGTACTTGCTAATTTTTTCAGTGCATGTGTTTTGTACATTGTGAGTGTTTGGAATGGCTATGTCTATAATGTATGTGATTTTATTGGGTTTGTCAATGAGTGTGATGTCTGGTCTGTTGTGGTAAATTGTTTTATCTGTGATTGTGGCTCTGTCGTAGTACATTTTGTGCGTGTTGTTTTCCAATACTGTCTGTTTATTATTATTATTATTATTATTATTATTATTATTATTATTATTATTATCAACCAATCTCGATTATATATATAGATTGGACAGTACTTTGAACACAACTGCAAAACTGTTGCCATTCCAACTAGATATTGAAATTGCAAATAAGTGCATAACATTAGAGCAGTTGGGCTACTCAATGACTTAAATGAAGTAGATCTGATAGATTATCATGATAATGAATACAGAAATATTTATCTGAATTTCTGACACAATTTAAGAATGAAAAGATCGACTTTAAATTGAAAATAAAGAGACACGATAAGGAAATATTCTGTAAACTTTCCAAGAAGAAAGTCAAAGCTGTATGAAATAAAATCTTGATTTTTTTTCTACAAAAATGTTCGATTAATAGACTGCATTCAAAAGAGAAATCAGTTTGGTTTCTGTTGAATGAACAGAACAAACCTTGATTTTTATGTTTAATTACTAATTTTGGTTATTAGACAAGGTTCCAGTCCTGTAAGAAAAATGACAATGGTCTTCTTGACTGTAGAGAAACTTCATAGATATATGTCAAATAAACTGTAATGCATCAGGCAATTTTCATCACATTTAAATACATAAGCAGATGGTCGATTCTCTGCTTTGGCTTAATAATAAACTGTTTGTTAGTAGGTGGACTCTAGTATTGTATAAATTTCACAATTCTGATATCAGACTATCATATTTTGTATAATCTTAAGAACAGATTTCATAATATAAACTTCAAAGATGGCAACTCCCTTCTGATATTAGCAAAAATGTTACCAAAATCCCAAATTATATTGTAAACTTATTCTAATATAATGACATACAATTGAAAGTGAAAAAGATCTCATAAAAAATAAGATTTTTACCTGAAATAAGTGCTGTATCTGAGAGATACATCAATACTGTACTATAAATATTAGTTTAAGAAACTTTTAAATTATTATATTTTATATGATTCTCATTATACATATATTTTATTAAAAAAATATTTTAATTTCTTTTGACCATAGAAAATTCATCATAAGATTAAAAGTCTACAGCAGAAGGAACTGAGTTTGGAAGATATGGATGATCCAGAGTCAATTTATATCCAAGAAGATAGATTCGTTAAAAGATTTAACAAAGTATGGAAAAAAATTTGTCTTTTGACTGGTAGAACAACAAAGACTGGAAGGCAAACAGAGAGGAAATTCTGTTTTAATGGTTCTTTTTATTTCATTTCTCAATTTAAATTTCTTAGATATGAAAGAATAATTTAAAATTTTTATTAATATAGGTAGCAGATATCCAGAAATAAATAGTAAAGTAGAGAGATTTATTAATAAAAAGAAAATATTTCCAGATTATAAAGACATTTTAAACATTGTTATGTCAGTTAATGATGTTTTAAAGTTTTCAAATAATCAAGCACAGTCAGTAGGTAAATGAACATTTTGATCAAGTATGTTCCATTTTTACCAAAATCTTGGTTTCATTTATTTTAACATATCTTATTATTTATGAAAACGGTTTCATTTCCTTCATTCCAAAAGTCTACAGCATTTAAAATTTACTTTTAACTATAGCAAGAGAAGTTTTTGAAGACGTTGGAAAATTACTACAAAAACGAAGATTACAAGATAATAGGGATCTAATGGGCTGTTTTTTAACGGATGATGTTGACCTTAACAATGATCCTGCTTGGGAAAATGAAGATTTAAAAAACCGCTTAGAAGAAAGCTCAAAAATTGCGTCAAAACATTTAGAAGAAGTTAGTTACAATAATAATAATAAAAATAAATCTGCAAACATAACTGTTTTTTTTTAATTATTGTTGTTATTTTTATAGTTAATGGAGAGTTATGTATTAAAACAAGCAGAACAAAAACTTGAACCAGAAGAAGTGGATGATAATGCAGATTTGTCACCATCACATTCCAGCAGACATGATGATGAGGAAGAGGAGGATGCTGAGGAAGAAGAACCAGAAGAACTCAGTGATATTGATCTCATAGAAGATATGCTAAATAATGATGGTAAAATTTTAATATTGGCGATAGAAATTTCTCAATAAATCAAAGTTTAGAATATAGAGAAGAAAATTCACATTGAAATTATATCTTAGGTTAATGATAAAATAAACCTTTTTTTAATACAATGAAGTGCTTTTTTATGGCAATGTAAAGAAGCAAAAGTATATGCACTCAAGCCTTTCATGTTCAAGAGAATTTCACATTTGGTTCTGCCATTAACTTATTCCATAGACTCAAAAAGCTTTAAAAATAATTATTGAAAATAAAATGATAAATCTTTAACTAATAAATAAAAAGACAGTCAATTCCAAAAAATTTTTGTTAAAACTTTTGGTCGATCACCTTTTATTTCCGTTAAAATTTCAGGATAAACTTCAGCGACCGGACCTTCCTTTTTAGGCTACACGGTCGCCTATAAAACAGTCCTTTAAAATACAGAAATTATCCAATTTAAGCATTAAAACTTGTAAAAAAACATCCAGCAAAATGTTAAAAATCTTGTAAAACTTTTACATCCAGTGAAATGTTAAAAATCTTTAACTGATTTAATTTATTTCCTGTTTTATTTGATTCTAAATGTAAATAAATTATTTATTGTGACATCTCACAATGTCAGGCCATAATTTTTAATACTTTTTAATTTAAAATATATGTTCACCACCTCAAATTAATAGTCTTGCCACTAAAGTATGGTACATCATATTTTCCTGTAGCAATAGAGTCATGCCAGTCATCTATGTAATTCCTTTCAGAGGAAAATTATTGAATTGAAATAACATGATATTTATGTACAGTTAATTGGGGCGTCCTGCTCCTAAACTTGCCATATCTGATCTCAGCTTTCATCTAACTAACTCTGTTCTCAAGATTAAGGAAAGACAGACAGACAGATGATAGTGGAAACATGAAAAAATTCATTGTTCTTAATGGGCTGCAATTTGAAAAAATGTACATCTATAAATTCTCACTATTGTCCATCTGTCTGTTCTTCCTTAATCTCTAGAACAGTGTTAGAGAGATGAAAGTTGAGACCAGATATGGAAAGCTTAGGAACAAGAGGCCCTGATTAACCTTATATGAACTTCTGGTTTAAACCAGAAGTCATGTGATTTCAATGCAAAAGTTTTTCCCAGAATGGAGTTACATAGATGACCAGCATGACTCTGTTGTTATCAGGAAAAGTTTGATGTATGTACAGGGGCAAGACATCACTGATTTGAGATCAAGAACATACATTTTAAGTTAAATAAATTAAAAATACAATTAAAAATTGGAGCTCGATGTCACAATAATTTTTGCTCATTTTTTCTTTTATATCTTTTCTGTCTATTAATATAAATTATGAGATGATGTGCATAGTAGAGTTTGGCTTCCAGGATTCCCAAATCTTACAAACCTGAGAAATAAGACAAATTCCTGGAATCCCATTTATTTTAAATGTCATAATACATTATTTATTTCATTTCATCTTAATTAAATACAGTATATCAAATAACTCTAAATACAAGTATCATGATATGTCTCAACTAAAGTTCACTTTACGAGTTACAACTTTAAAGTTGCTGGACCCTTAAAGCAGATTTGGATACATTTTTGTACTATTATATTAAAATTAAATTATTTTATGATTTTGATTCTTTTCATGATGTCAATAATTAAAAAATTCAGTGAATCCACTATGCGGAAATACTTTTGAGTTTTTAGCAAACAATGAGATTACAAAATGCAAAACATGCAGAATTAAGCATTTTTTCTCATCTGTTTAAATATGGTGCAAAGCTCAAGTATTAATTTATAACACACCCAACAACTGCCATAAATCATCAGGCTATAATTTGGAAATAATAATTATAAATTACAAATTAATTTGGCACTAGAGGGAGGTGTTAGGTGCCATCTCTTATTAAAATTAATAATTATAATACAGTAGTACCTCAGTATATGTCTGCTTTAGAATATGTCCTGTTTGGACGAAACAAATTTTGCACGTTATACGATTTTTGTTCGGTATGCGACTTAATTCAATTATACGCACTATCTATGAACAACTAGCACTTGTTGGTGTACTGGACCAGACTAGACGTTTGCAGTGCCACGGTTTATAACTTTGTTAAATTTCTTCTGATTTTAATTTGTAAGTAAAATTTTATTATTTTTATTAATCATGAATTGCAAAAAGGCAAATGAAAAGCAACAGAAAACTAGAAAAAATGACTAGAATCACAATGGAACTGAAAAAAGAGATTGTTGAGAAATATGAAGGTGGCATGCATGTTCGAGATTTAACTGTTGCATACTGCAATCCGAGAACGACGATATCAACAATCGCGAAAAATAAAGACATTATTAAATCTGCTAACATTGCAAAAGGGGTTAAATCAATTTCTAAACATAGATCGAAGACATTAGATCATGTTGAGAAATTGCTTTTGCTTTGGATAACTGAAAAACAGTGTGCTGACGACAGCATGTCAGAAGCAATTATTTGTGAGAAAGCTAAAAAGATACATGCTGATCTCATGAAAAATCAAGCAGGAACTAGCCAGGAAAGTAACATGTTTAAAGCCAGCCATTTTTTTTTTTTACATGAGAATGGATTAATCATTTTTACATTATTTCTTATGGGGTTTGGTATACGTCCAAACACTAGGAACGGATTAAGGTCGTATACCGAGGTTCCACTGTATTTAATTAAATAATTTAGATTAAACTGGTACCTAATGCCTCCCTCTAGTGCCAAATTAATTTGTAATTTATAATTATTATTTCCAAGTTATAGGCCAATGATTTATGGCAGTTGTTGGTGTGTTATTGCAATGCATCAGATTAGTAGGGATGTTTATTTGTATTAATATATGTTGATTCAAAAAGAATTAACACATTCAAAGATTTTTTACTTTGTAGCAAAGTTATGTATGAGCATATACTGTAGTATGCACCAAATTATAAAGGAACTGTGAGTGCACCATCAAGCTGAATGATCTGTACTAAAAAAATTACATTTGAGCAAAAATCAGCTGCTTTCTATTCTCTAAGATCATGATTTAAAATTTAAATGCATGAGATTGAAGCAATCAAAAACATAATGGGTGAACCATTAAAAAATTCGGCAGTTTACAACATGATGTCAAATGCACAAATTTGTTTATTTATAACTAAAAATATTCTCGAAATTTCATCAAAAAAATGCATTTGTGACAATACCTAAATGAATTTCTTATGCAAGAAACAAAAATTGTACAATTAACACAATTTGTATTAATTGTACAATTATCATTATTATTATGTCAGCGAAGCGGCAATAAAATATTTACTACCATTTTGCACAACATACCTCTGCGAGAGCGGATTTTCGGCCATGNGTCCAAGCTTCCGTAACCCCTCCCCTCATCGGATGTCCAACAAAACTTGATCTTTTCTTAAAACCTTTATCACTTTATGAATGATACATAACGTAAGTAGAAACAAAACACACAAGAAATTTTGAAATAAATATAATAAAATGCATAAACTATAAAATTTAATGAAATAAACAGACATCCACTAAAGCTGAATCCCTCCCTTCCTCAATCCAATTTCTCTTATCCCCTCCCTCCCTTCCTTTGTGGACATCATATATGGACAATCCCTTACAGAATATACATTAAATAAAAATGTATGAAGAATGATTAAAAGCATAAGGTTTCAAATTAAAACAACAAAATCATAACATAACATCATAACATAGTACTGTTTCTGGATCACTGTCCAGCACATCCTCTCGATACAAACTACATTAACATTCTTCAGTCATTAGATCTTCGTTTTATAAAGAATTTTCAGTACAACTACAAACAAGTTCTTGTACATTCTGCTATTGAAGAGAGAGAAGAAAAGAGAAAATAAACTAAAATCAACATTTTACAGTTAGTATAGTACAGTGTTTTTCAACCTATGGGCCGTGACCCCCAGGGGGGTTGCGAAGCCTTACATGGGGGTCGCGGGTAAAAGAAAAAGACAAGTGTTTGTAGGTCCTACACTACATTAAAAAAAAACTACAATTTCAGCAAGAAGGCTGTACCTGTTTATTTTACAGTACAATTGGTGTTTTGATCGATATGTAGGTCTCAACCATGGGTGTAGGCAGGGAGTGGCCCGCCCCAGAAAATCATAGCCGAAGAAGTGTCGAGTTGACTTGCAAGATAAGTTATTGTCGATTCTTATAAAACTTTCATTTTAATCAACAATAATTTGTCTCAACAAAAAGAAAATTAAATACATAGTTTTTAAAATCACTGATATAGTTTTAATATGGCCCTGGGGGGTCGCCAAAATTTTTTAACTTGTAAAGGGGTTGCGTGTTCAAGAAGGTTGAAAAACACTGCTTTAAGACATCAATATTTGAGTTACTTATAAAAAATATTAATAGTCTGTAAGGTAAGGTGTTTATCAATTTTGAATTGTGTGTCACATGGCATAATAAAGACATCATATCTATGTTAATTCTGGTAAATTATGTTTGAATAATTCAAATTCAATTATAAAAAAAAGCTTATTATTATTAATAATTAAAATTTGACTTGTTTCAGAAGAGTCTTCCAAGAATGTAACAGAAGTGATATCAAAGGAAATGACTTCTGAAGACCATACATTACCTAATTTAAATGATAATAATGAATGGCTAGCCAAGCTACAGTTACAACCTACATCTTCCAGTTACAATAGAGATGTATCCAAATGCAGCACGGAATCATTCCTTCAGAAAAGAAAAATTAAATCCGAACGTACAGATTCCTCTAATAAAAAATTGTGCCTTAATAATGGAGAAAACAAAGAAAAATATGAAGAAATCATAATATTGGAATAATTATAAATTACAGGAAGAGATTAATGATTGTTGTTTTTTCTTTTGACACAAATCCCAGACATATTGTGTATGTGTAAATATTTTAGATCCGATTTGTTTTTATAAAACAATCAATCGGAAACATTTCCAAAAACTTTAAGGATTGGACAGAGAGTGTCTGTCTCATTCAGGTCAATCAAATGCCAAAATGCAATACATTTTATATATTTCTCATTGTACAAATTATAAGAGACTGCTTAATTATGTTTATTATTATTTATGTTTTGTTAAAAACTGTGTGTAATTAGTCATAATTTGGTCAGATTTTCATAATTTTGTTTCCTGTAACAAAAATGCAAATTATAAAATTTGGAAGTTGTAGTTATAAAGAGAAATTGATTAGCAAATACTTTTATGTCTTATATAGAACACCCTCCTTTTTTTTTGTAGTACCATACTTATTATAATTTAAAATTCATTTATATTTTTACATTATCTTTGTAAATTAATTACAATAGAAGAGAATATGCAAATATTTATATTAAATTTCATGAACTGTGTTCTTTACTGTTTAAAAGTGGTTCGTTTTCATAAATTTATGTTATAAATAAATATGAAAAGAGTCTAACAAGTGTACCTTTTTCATATTGATCTGATTTGAATTTTTTGTGAACAATGTATTTTTGAGAATAAGGCTAAAATATTTATTTACTCCATTATACATTACAAACTTTTTAATTAATTTAATTTGTCAAATAAATATTTAAGCCTGAGAGAAATATAATTTTTATGGAATTTGACTTACTCGTTTATTTAATTTTTCATAAAAACAATGTAAAAATGCTTAAAAAATTATTTATTATTATTATTGGAATCTACTTTCAGAAAAAATTCTTGTTGAAACTACAGTGGTACTTCAGGATACGAACACCCCAGCATACGAAATTTTCAGGATATGACATGAAATTCGAACATATTTTTGTTCCACGATACGAACAAAAACTCACCATACGACGTTACATTAGTTCGCAGCGCCATTTTTTATTCACTTCTGTTCATTGGTCTCAGTTCGCGTTTGCTTTGTCTTGGAAGGATCTCGCTCGATAAAGGAAATCTTGAGGTATTATCAGAAAGTGACTGATTTTATTGAAAAGAAACATCCTGACAAGGTTCACACTGGTCGTATTGCTGCTCGGAGTAATGACATTTGCCTAAGTCACTTTAGAAACATTTCAAAAAGTAGGCAAAGCCAAACCTCTTTGGATAGATATTTTACCAAGCGACCTCTATCCAGTGAAAGTGCTGATGGAAGTGAAGGAAAGAAAGCAAAAAGCAGTGAATAAAAAATTTAAAAAAAATATATATATATATATATATAACAACACTAAATTTTTTATCTTTTCTAAGTTAGTTTTAAGTTATTGTTACATTATATTATGTAAGTTAAGTTTTAGTACCTCCACTGTCGTCTATCCTCAAAGTTAAAGTGCAAATAAAACTACATTTTTTAAAATCAATTATTATTATATTATGGTTATTTATACATTTACAACTACAAAATGCATTTTTCAGTGTTTTCCTTACTACAGTTATTTATTTTTTTACTGTACTACTTAGCTTTAATTTGAGTGTTTTTTTCGTGTTGGAACGAATTATTTAGTTTTACATGTAATCGTATGGGGAAAAATGATTCACCTTACGACATTTTCATGATACGATCTCAGTTTCGGAACGGATTAATTTCGTATCCTGAGGTACCACTGTATTTAAGTCAAATAATTCATGAAAATTTCTGAGAATATGATCCATACTCAGAGTCCTTCAAGACAGATTGATACTCTGAACAATTCTGGTTCAATGATCCTGATATAACTAGTCAGGGATCATCACAATAGGGATTTCCTGGCCCTCTCCATTTAGGTTTGACCAAGCCTTTACTGACTTTGCTGGATGATTAAAGCAGTAAAGGCTTCACTATCTCAATTATCCAGTCATCAATTTACAACTGTAACAAAAGATTTTAAGATATACAGTGGTACCTCAGGATACGAACGCCCCAGCATACGAAATTTTCAGGATACGACATGAAATTCGAACATATTTTTGCTCCACGATACGAACAAAAACTCACCATACGATAA